CATTGGCCTATACACATACAGCAAATCAATTAAGTAATAAAATGAACTAGGATCACACTAATCCAGCACGTTATTATTCTGAGTTGCCCCACTCAAGCGGCGGCCATATTGAGTGGGGCACGTGAGATTAATAACGTGCTGGATTAGTGTGATACTTGTTCATTTTATTACTTCATTGCTGTGCTCTATGTGTATAGGCCAATGTAGTTGGATCTGTATGTGCGTTATAATTAATCGATTAAAAAAAATTGCGATTAATCGAACAGGAAAATTTTAATCATTACCAGCCCTAATATTAATATCTATATCGTATTGACATGAAGATGACTGTAGAATTATAACCAAAGCAAACAAGGTATATGTCATGCCCATTTTAAAGGGTCAGGTCAACTAAAAGTGATATTTATCTTTCTTTAATATTCCAACTGCAAGATTTCAATGCCATAGTTCCCAACCAACGAGTAGTGATGGGCCGAACAGACCCGAGTTCGGTTTGAATTTGAACTTTATAACATGAAAAAAGTTTGAACTCGAACTCAATGCAAGTCTATGAGGCTAGAACTTTCAAAATCAATTGTCCCCTTTTTGAAGGCTTATATGCAAGTTAATGGCCATAAAAAGGGTATGGGAATTCGGGTACTGCCCTGGGTATGTCCCATGTATCAATTAAAAAAAAAACTTAAAAAAAATACAGTTTTTAAAGGAGCAGTGATTTTAACTTCACTTAAAGGGAAACAATAAAAATGTAAAAATGAGGGGGGGATGGGGGGGGGGCATGGTCTGGCTATGCTACTGTGAGGAGCTGTGATTCTTTGCTCTTGCGGCAGCCACGTCGATTCTAGCACCATCCTGCTTCATCCCCAATTATATTTGCCATGACCAAGAAAGGGAAACCCCAAGGGAGCACAGTCCACCCCACAAGCTGCTTTTCGGTGGCTCTTTGACCCCACAACACATCCCATGTAGCCAAGACCTAGCCAGGAAGGAGTGCCGGAGCACTCACTGCAGTTTCCCACTCACTGGAAGCCCTGCCCGGATATGCTACTCCGCTTCTCCACGCTGCTGATTCCCGCCAGGCATTCTCTGCCTCCACCACCCCTTCAGCGGTCTCCCGAAGACTGGCGGCTCTGCTGTGAGAGGCGGGACATGAGCGGGTGGCACATCTTCCTCCGCTTCGCCAGTCCCAGGGACTGACGGTGCTGTGCTGTCACCATCCCCGAAGCAGTCGGTGGTGGGTACTGCTGGGGCCCAGCCCCTTGATGTTGCTCTCCTCTCCTGGGCCTGCTGATATTGACTCTTCCTCCTCTCCTACACTGGCCACAGTGGGCACTCAGTCTGTACAGCATGGGGTCCCTCTTCTCCCGAGGCCTGCCACAGCCACACACCATTTGGCCTCCACTACTGCAGCTCCACGGGGTGGGTCACCAGCATTACCTGGATTATACCCCCCACATCTGATCCTGAAGAGGATTCCATGGGTCATGGAGATCGGACCCCCCACTCTCCGTTGAACAGGGGGATGCCCCTTTCCTACTACAGGCAACCCCACATTGGCCGTCACAAGGCGGCGATATTCGGGCCTTACTAAGGGCACTCCCTACTAAGGCAGATTTAACTGCATTAGTTCCTACTAAGTCCGACTTTGAATTGATCACATCCAAAATGGAACTCGTTTATAAGCAGGAAATGTCAGCAATTAAGCAAGAGCGTTCCACCTTTATTTCATGATTTACGGAAGTTGAACAATGCAATTCTGATTTACTATATCGCGTGCACCAATTGGAAAACTCGCAAACTTCATCCAGACAGCAAGTCACTTCCCTGATACTTTCTTTGGATGACCTGGATAATAGAGGTCGACGCAATAACATCTGTATCAGGGGGCTTCCGGAGTCTACATTTTCAATATCTTCTTGGATGATCCTGCGCATACTCCCATTGAACTGGACAGAGTACAACACGCCTTGGGCCCTGTCTCCACTGATCCTTCTCGGCCTCGAGATGTTATATGCAGGGTGCACTACTACTCCAAGAAGAAGGCAATCATGCAATCGGCATGGCGAAAGGGATCCTTTAATTTTGATGGTGCACAAAATCATTTATTCCCGGATATATCCAGATGCACACTCCAAATGAGAAGATTACTCCAACCTTTGCTGCAAAAGATTTGATAAGCCAAGTGTAGAGGGGGCTTCCCTCTACACTTGATTATTTGGAAATCAGATCGCACATATGTGCTGCACTCTCCATCAGACTCCGCTGGTCTCTTTGAGTTCCTGGATACTGCACCTATCCCTATCCGCACCTATCCCTAACCCAGACTGGATCCACTCGCCGCCCGAGACATCTATCTGAAGAACAGCTGAGTGCTCCAAAGACTACGTAATCGGTCGCAACTCTGAAGAACCTCAGCCCTGCTACCCTCACCAAATTAACTGTAACCTACTATGCGTTCTTCATCCATTCCTGACTGCTCATGGGCTGCTCGACAGATCCATCCCTGAATATCTCTCCTAGAGTACTACTCTCATCTAACTATATGTCCTTCATGGTTTTTTCGACAGGCACATCGACTGCTTACTGTAGTACCTTCTTTACTTGTTGCTTTCCCCCCACCCCACTCTACCCCATCCCCTTTTTTTTTTTACTTGTCTCCTCTCCAGGTTTCCTGAGTCAGCCTAGTTGTAAATGCCCCCCGATCTTATCACAGCGCCCTGGACCAGCTGGGACACCTCCCTAGGACTACCTTTCATGGTAAACTCTGGTCTATAGGCTCTCTGATAGGTTGGAACAGGCTGCCATTCCAGAATGATGGAGCCATTCTCTGGGTTAAGAGCCTTCAGTGTTTATATGACTATGTGTATTGCATTGCCTATATGATTCTGTGCTGTTTTTCTCCATTACTCTTTTTTGTTTCTTTCTCATTATGTAAAGCAATATCAGAGGACTTTATGTGCACGTCCGCAACCTCCCTTCCTGAGTCAGGACTTTTGCATACACTCCCCTGTTGAGTTGCTAGGAGGCCTGTGCCCTTTTGCTAATTGTTTGTGAACAGCTGGTTTGTAGAGGTGAACTGTGTTCCCTGTACAGGTGGATGTTTGCCTGGGTGGTATAATCATTAGCAGACTCTTCCCTTTGCCTGGATCGGCCCTGGACAGGGCCAGCCTTTGGGGTGTTCGAGCTGTGCGGCCGCACAGGGTGCCATGGCAACAAGGGCGCCCGGCGGCCTACACAGCTCGCCCATGGGGCGGCTACAGCCTGTGGCTTCTCAACTCCTCACTGCTCGGCCATCCGACATGAGAGCGCTCCCTCCTCCGCCGCCGCCGAGTCTTCCCCCCCCCAAGCTGGGCACCGAGAGGGGATGGGGGGGGGGGGGGGGGCGCATGAGGGAGCGCTGCCTGCTGTCAGGATGGCCGGGCGGGAGGGAGGGAGAAGAGAAGCCGCAGCTTTCAGGACGGCTGAGCGGTGAAGAGAGCGGCGCCGCTGTCATCCTGTCAGTTTCAGGATAACACTGGCTCTGTGCGTGGCCGAGTGGAGGATGGGTAAATATCATTGATATTTACCAATCCTCAATGCAGGGCAAACACTGGAGTAATCGTCTGATCACTCCAGTGTTTGTAAATAACTGGGGACACATAGTACTATGTGTCCCCAGTTATAAATGAACAGGATGTTAATTACATCACTTCCTGTTCATTCATGATTTTATGAATGGGGAGTAGCACTCACTACAGAGGCTTTTCACCATTCATAAACTGCTTGATAGTAAATATTTTACTATCATCAGTTTCTGAATGAATGGGAAGCCTCTGTACTTCCCATTCATTTAGAACAGAGGCTGCAGAAAAACAAATTGAGGTCTCTGTGTCCTCAATTTCTTTTTCTATTTTATTCTTTCGTTTCATCAAACAAAACACATTTTTATGCTATTTTGGATTCAGCCATTGGCGTGTTCTGGAGGCAGGGCACATGACGTCATATGACACCGCACATGTTGGGCGCCGCCATCTTGGTGTATATCTAGGTATACACCAAGATGGCGGCGCCTATATCGGCGTGTGAGGTCACCTGACGCCACGCATGCATGGCATCATGCTCCCTGTCTCCAAGATGGTGGCACCTATTCGCAGAACGCGCCGGTGGCCAACATGGCCGCCCCGCATTCTCAAA